AAACAACCTCTGGGCTGATCTAAGTCAGGGCACGACTAACTCACAGATCGAACCCTGAAACAACCTCTGGGCTGATCTAAGTCAGGGCACGGATAACTCACAGATCGAACCCTGAAACAACCTCTGGGCTGAGCTAAGTCAAAGCATGTCTAACTCACAGAGCGAATTGTAATTTAGCGTGGAAAACGGGAGAAAACCCTTGAATCAAGGGACATGATGCCGAGTCTGTGAACCGACCCCAGAGGTGAGAGATGAGTGCACTACCGCTACTCCACCGTTGATTTCCATAAAAACAAAGTGTGGCTGCCAAGTTAGTTAATGTAATCAGAAATCAAAGAAATCAAAGATCAAATATGTTGTCATCCAACATGGTGGATATGACGTCAGACCAAGTTTATAACACTCTGTCATTATAGCGCCATTCTGTGTCTCTTCGACAAAAGGAATTCGGACCCACTAAAAATCAGTACTGCATGCCTTACTGCAAAGAGAATACTTACAGTGTAAGAACGATGGATTGAGAAGTGCACGTGCACGTTCACCAAGCTCCCCTGAGAATGTGTTGCCTAGCAGTAGCATATCAATGGCTTCCTGTTTACTGCCGTCTAAGAAGTTACTGCGAATAGCTCTCTTGACAGACCGTGCGCCATCACGCAGCTTGTTGACAACCTGTTAACCAAATGAAAAAGTAAAACAAGATGTTATAAGGGAGGGGTGGGGGAGGACAGTAAGTGATTTCCATAAGATTATTTTACTGACACTTAATACACACAATTTTTTATGGAGGGAGGAAAACCAGAGAAACTGGAGAAAGATCCTCGTGGCAAGGGAGAGACAGCACATCAAACAAACTCAACTCACATGTTGATTTTATGGAGGGAGGAAAACCAGAGAACCTGAAGAAAAACCCTCGTGGCAAGGGAGAGAACAACACATTGAACAAACTCAACTCACATGTTGATTTTTATGGAGAGGAAAACCAAAGAACCTGGAGAAAAACCCTCGTGGCAAGGGAGAGTACAACACATCAAACAAACTCAACTCTTATTCTTAGTTCAACCAGGCAGTGAGAGACCGCTTTTTGAAAAAAATGACGATGTTTTAAAGGCATTTCCATATCGCTTATTTACAATAGACCTTTTCAGCTTGGGGGTAGTGTTTTCCATTTCAGACCACGTGTCATTCCCTAGAGTATCATTTCTTTGTTTAACGATGTGCATGTGAAGACACATGAATATGGATACAAACGAACAAAGAATTATATTATAAGGAGATTGTCACGTGGTCTGTAATTGGAAAGTATTCCGCCTGAGCCGAAAAGATCTATTGTTTGTGTTCGCTGATTCTAGTTAATACTCTTGTTTCCCACACTTACCCTTGCTTTACCATCAAGTGCACCAGTTCCTATATATATCCTACTGATATTATCGCCATTTTTTTGCCACATCACTTTGAATGCTTCTTCAAATCTAGCGACAATCGATGCTTTGTTAGCCAAACCAAGACACTGCATCTGGACCGCTAACATCTGACAGGACAAAACAAAAAAGAATGCGTATGCAGATCATCAATCGTACAACGTGGTGACTCTAAAACCTAAAACTTTCGGTGTAAGAAGGTTCATTCTCTGAATGCTTGAGTTTATACCATTACAGCACAGGAAGCCCGCCTTGTGTCGGCACAATACAGTGAATATATATTTTACAACCACCACTCCCCAAACGGGGCTCTTCCGTGAGGTTCCCTCCACACGCACTACCACTACGTTCCCTATATTTACAACATACAACATACAACACTCAACTCACATGTTGCTTTTTATGGAAGGAGGAAACCGGAGATCCCGGAGAAAACCCTCGTGGCAAGGGAGAGAACAACACATCAAACAAACTCAACTCACATAAGATCCAGTCTGAGCCAGGGCTCAAACCCGGACCACAGTGGTGAGAGGCGAGCGGTAAACCACTTCGCCACCCATGACACCCAATGAATGAATGGGCTCTGGTTGCAAGACTTCATTAGAACATAAACGAAACAACATAGAACCAGGGCATTCTGTACCTGATAAGGAGTTGACAATGCAGTCAAGGGCGACAATTCATTTAAGCCCAATAGAGGTGCGATTTATAAGTGTCAGAAGGGTAATGGGGGCAATGCATACGCCCCTGAGCAACCCTTGGCAAAATGTAGCCTATCGGCAGTAAACAATTCCCATGGATTATTGAGTGCAGTTCATTGGGGATGATACCCTCAAGCCTCCACGTTTCAGTCGTACCTCAAATCCAAAGAATGTTTGTACATTGTTAGACCTATCGATGCAGTCCAGGCAATTTGAACGTATGACACCCTTCTGACGTCTGCAAGGAAATCGGTTATAGTAAATGAGTCTGGAATCAAGGAACCCCAGAGCGGAACTCGAAAAAGGTTTATAGACAATATTGCACTAACTTTTTGTATGCACGTGAATAAACAAGGTTGTTATATACCCCAGGGGAGGGGGGGGCACTCCGCCAGAATTTGGGTAGGAGTGTTGCGCTGGGATTCTGAAAGGGGTACCTAGTTTAAATTCAATAGCCCACTTCCGAGATACGCTTCGCTTGTCAAGTAAAAAGGTTTCAGTTGGAGGCTCAGTGCTAAATGCAAGTTATTCTTTTATCTTTTCACGAATGACTGAGCATTTAGCACGGAGCCTCATACTGAAACCTTTGTACTTGACAAGCGAAGCGTATCTCTGAAGTGGGCTATTATCATGTCATCTCGCGTATCGTTTTATGGGAGTACTCTCCCCCCTCCCCCCCGTTATAGACGTTATAGACTCACTTTTCTACTTTTCCTGCTTTAGCAAAGAACAATCCAAATTCATCCATCGATGGCTTAGCTTTGTCTTTGAGTGCCGCTAGTTTGCTTGCCCGTCCACCCTTACAGATTCTATGGTAATCAAAGCAAATCATGGGTGTATTGTGACCATGGACAGAATCCTTCAGCTGGTCCTGTGAGACGATAACATAATAGTCAATACTCTGGTTGGCTCACATGGGAGGGGTGGGTGGGTGGGATAGGGGATGGAAGAAAATGTAACCTGCATGTGTCAAGATACATGCAGAAAAAAAACCATAGGTGGTCAGGGCAGGCTGGTTCGTTGGTTGGTTGGCTGTTTGTTTGGTTAGTATAGTGAGATGTAGTAGTCCAAGGATACTAAAAACACCAGACAAAGAAATGTAACATGTACGATTAAATAATCATTACCTGGAAAGCAGTACTCAGAGTGTTTTCTCCCTCTTTGATTCCAAGCAGATTTACTATCAAATTCTGTCCATATAGTGACTTCAAAGCCGTAATATGTCTGGAGAAGACAACAGAGAGATAACTGTCATCAGATATAGACTCTTTGCGATAAAGCTAATGCATTCTATTAGGATCTATGGACGAATTGAGTAACACTCAAGCCTCCGACATTCTAGTGATGATGACAGAGCCACAGCCAACCATCTCACCGTTAAAGTCACCAGAAATGAAGGGTTTGAACCCACGATAGTTTGATTAGTGTTGTGTGTGATGATCTGCATAAGAGCAGACTTCAGAGAAACTGTTGGCATTGTGTTAAACAATGATTACCTGTCAAATGCTGGTGATGATGCAATAAAACCTCTGGACAGCTTAACTTTATGTGAACCAAACTAAAAGGAGAAAAAAAATGAACATTCTAATATACCAAGTAATCAAAAGGAGCAGGCGTAGCTCAGTTGGTTAGTGCACCGCCTTCAGAGCTTGAGGTCCATGCTTCGATCCTTAGGATCTACATGTCTGTTTCGACTTCTCTCTAATCCGTGTAGCTTCATCTTTAAATACTCTTAAAACACTGCACTGATGGCGAGAAGGGGTAAAGTGTGCACCATCGGCTTCCATTGATAGCAGTTGAATTTCAACTGAAGGAACTACCGATGTTAAATATAGGTGTACTTTACTTTACTTATTTTAAAACGTTAATTTTTAAGACTTCAACTTTTTTCAAGACATTTTAAGGCTTTAACTATTCTTCAGGCTTTCATTGCAAGTGTTGCACCCCATTTGGTCAAATGTATTGCACAACATTTTGGGTGTGTGCTTCAATGCAAAGAAATGTCAGTTCAAAAATTTGATGTGTTTCAAATGCTTCCCAAACATCATCCCCCAATAGCATCTGCCAGACTGACCAGGATATTGGGCCCAACAACTTTAGATGTCAATGTTGCTCATTTACATTACCAACAGTTTTAGATGCATGTCTAGATTGCATAACCTCAGCTTCAGCCTCATTTTATATTGTTAGTATTATGATACACTCAACAAAATTACTCGGTTCTGATTGGACAAGAGGCGTACAATTAAATCTCAAATTGTACTCTGTAGAGTCCCAATTAAGTTGCTCAATTTTGTTGAGTGTATCATAGATAATCATCTTTGAGATACTCATGATGTTTTGAAAGTTTTTAAATTGGACTCACCCAAAGCTCGTCCAATTTTGAGAACTTTCAAAACATCACTCTACCTATAAATTCCGAATTGCACTGGAGATCATGTGGTTTCCTATACTTATATTGGTACCTGTAGGCCAGGTTGTTCCCAAAACACAGGGACAGATCCTCTGGTTTGTACATAAGATGTTATCGTCTGATCCAGAACTATCAACTGAAATGATAAGACATTGTTAGGCATCTATTTCTGCATCCACGAAAAAATATGAAATGGAAAGAGCATTGAGAATTATTATTACTATTATTATTATTATTATCATTATT